AAATTTGGGGAAAAAACCCAAAAAAAAAAAAAAAAAAAAAAAAGAAAAAAAGAAAGAAGAAAAAAAAAGGTAATTCAGTTATCATACTTTCCCAATCCCTATTCCCAAAACTTACTTCTACTGAGAGAAGTGTCATTTTGCTGGTTGGGCATCGTGTAATAGACCAAAATGTGCTCTTTCTTTGCCCTGAGAACACAAGTCTTCACAGTTAAAATGGATTATGCCATTTGTGTTCAGCGGGAAGAATGCCGGATCAGTCGGCTCCCTCCTCACACAAGGCAGCATTTGTGAGAGCAATAAACAGAGAGGTCACATCAAATACCTACGGGACACAGACCATGGCAGCAAAGCTCCTTCACCTGACCCTGTGGCCTAGGTCTAACCACGGCAGGGGAGGGAGGACCAGGGAGAAAAACAACTCCTGTGGCCGCTTGTGCCGTGGTGAAATGAAGCCTTCAACAGCATCTTCTCCGTACCCGCCCTGCTGCAGGCGAAAGCGACGCCGAAGGTGGTTTGCTGCGGACGCCCCTTCGCAGCCCCACGAGTGCCCAGGTGTGAGCCCTCACCGCGCCCAGCAGCGACCCGCACACCCGGGTGCGGTGCCAGGCAGGCACGGCGGAGCCTCAGCCTCCGTCCCGCGAGCACATCGCTGCTTCACGACCGAGGTGTGAAACACCCGCAGGGCAGACACGCGAAGCGCATGCCACGCACCTCGAACCGCCTCGTTCCCGGCACGGAGGGGAGGTGTTAGCGCGGGGTCGCGCGTTGTTTTGGGAGACGTTTCTGCCATCGGGAGGGGCAGAGCAGCGCGGCTCCCCCGGCCGAGCAGGGGCTGGGAAAGGCGCTCCTGGCTCCAGCCCTGGGGCCGGGGGGCAGAGCCGCCCCGCTCCCCTCCAGACGGGCCGCCGTCGGGGCCGCCGCTCGCAGCCCGGGAGCGGCGAGGAGGAGGAGGAGGGAGAGAAAAGGAAGGAAAGCAAAAGGAGCTGCCGGCACCGCGCCCCCGCTGTCCCCCCGCCCGAGGGCTGCGCACTCACCTGGTCCCTGCCGGCCCGTCCCGCGGGACGCGAGGAGGAGGAGGAGTTGGAGGAAGAGGAGGAGGAGGCCATGTTGCAGCGCTCCCGAGCTCCGCTCCTCACCTCTCCCAGCCGTCCCGGGCTCGCCCCCACCGGCGGGCGGTCCTGTCCCGCTCCGCCGCCGCCCCCGCAGGTGGAGCCGATCCCAGCGGGGCCGCTCCTCCCGCGGCGGGCCGGGCGCGCTCGGCCCCGTCCCGCCCTGCGGCTGGAGCCGGGAGCTCCGGAGGTGCCACAAGGCGGGGGCAGCGCCTCGAGGTCCGCCCCGCTGGAAAACCGGGAGGGCGGCTGCTACCGGAGGGCTCCAGAGGGCCGGGGAGCCCCCCCAGACACCTGCCCCGCGGCTCACCTGGACACGGCGGGCTACGGGCGGCCGCGGCCGCTCCGCTCTGCCCGCGGAGGATGCGGGGCGGGGAGCGCAGCTGAAGTTTGTTAAACAAAACTAGAGAAGCCGACCCAGTCCTCTTACTGGGCGCCTGAGAATTCCGTGCCGCAGTTAAAGGCTTCCCGCTGGCCTTCCATCACGAGTACTACAGGTGTAGTGTGTTTACTGCAATGCAAATTCAAAATCGCTCACACGTGTGGAGCAGCGGGAGGATGGACACAGGGAGCTGCTCCCGTGGATAGCGATTAGCTGATACTCCCTGAGCCTGGGCGTGAGTCAGTGCCCGATTTTCTCCCCCAGCCCCAGCTGAGGGCTGTGCAAACATCACACGTTAACTACTGTGTTGGCCAAACCAGCAATTAATTCTGATTGTACTTTTTCTTAGTTTAAAAAAACACTTTAATCAATCTCAGTAAAGGGTGTTTTATCACAGCGCTTGAAATTGTGAAAGTGTTGTAAAACCAATTAAGATGGGTTAGTTTTGACTTAAATTACTTTATCCCATCACCTTACTTTTCCTTCCCTCTCACAGATCTGTTTTGGTGCATCAGCCTATTTTCCTGTTTTAATTAGAACTTGATTTGCCCATTAGCAGTGGTGAAACACACAAAAAAATGCTATTAAGCACTAATTTACCCAGAAATATTGCTGATAACAGCTTAATCCAGTTACTTATCCTGTCATAGGCCTTAGTGCTGTACGTGCAATTTACAAAGCACCTCCCCAGCTGTATAAACTGTCTATAGGTGTTTATACATCCTTAGATACTGTGTAACTAATTGCTTATCACTCCCTCTCTAATGTGTAAACTTTTTTCTTTGTGTATAGAGCCAAATAAAAATATTTAACCAAAGGCCTTGGCTGTATGGAGAAGGTAATTCCTCAGAATGTTTTTATCCCTCTTGTTTTGGATGTGACTCATTTCCTCAGCCCACTCAGGGAAAAAAGGATCACGATAGCAAAAAGCAAGCGTGAAGCAAGGCTGGTCATGTTCACTGATGAGCAGTGGCAATTAGCAGCTCTGTGGCTGGGTCACACACTATTTTTATACAACTCCTGTACCACACCATCACTGCATACCACCTTCCATCACTCTTTGGGGAGGAAAATTATAAAGACTTAAATGGAATTTGAAGATTGTAAAAGAAAATAGCACCTTAAGGAAAAAAAATTAATTTTTTACTTGAAACGAAAAGTGTGTTTTAAGTCTGCTCTTACAATTAATGGGAAGAGGAATTTTTAAACAAATTCAAGTGTAATGTGTACATGTAAATCCAGATTTCATTTCCACAGGCTTACATACCTCACTTGTCTCATTTACACTCCCACCTGAAAGACTATAGCTTCTCTTTTGGCAGCTGGAATGATACCTGGAGGGAAGGAAAAGTTAACTTCCCTTACTTCAGGAAAGGTTTCAATTCAGGCTTCCCTGACAGAAGTTTAGAATTTAAATGTGCTGTTGCAGTGCATTTGATCTGATCAAGCACAGTAACAGGTGGTTGTTGTAAGACAAAAAAGGATAAACAGGTAAAACCTGAGGCAAGTGGAAAATAAGAGTAAAGTTGTATAGAAATGAAACAGCTATACCAGGAAACAGATTTTTGGTATAACTGTATCCATGTGAGGAAGGTTGCTGATAGAGTTATATTGCCATACTGACAGGGCCTGACATTTGTACTCGGCCTCGGGGATTGGGACTTGTGGTTGCCACATTCCCTGCAGGGATATGCTATCCAGCCCTCCACACCTACCTCAAAAACAACCTCCTCCAGCCACTAGGAATTTCTCACCTGCATCCGGGCTGAGAGAGCTCCAAATGTAACTCTGAATGCACTTCTCCTGCTCTCATGCGTCCAAACACCAGTTCAAAAGCAGTTTATTTGGTTCTGCCATTTTTCTTCTTGGATTGTAAGCCAAATGAAATGCAAAAACTTAAATAAGGAACCAGCCACCTTTTCCTACAGTTAGTTTTGCCGGGGTCAGGAGTGAAAGCTTTGCCCAACTGAAGTTAATGGGAGTTTTGCCAATGACTTTGGTGGAGCCTGGCTTTTTGCCCAGATGTTCTAGAGAAACAAAAGGCACTTTCCCCCCCCTTTTTACTTTCCCGCTGTTTTGATATATGTGCCCTGTTCACCTTGCTTGTTTAATTACAATTATTAAAATCAAATCCAGGTTGGGTATTTGTAGGTATTTCTCTAGAGGTTTGTATGAAACCTGCTGTGAGTCCCACGGTGAAGGAAGATCTGCAGTGACAGTGAAGTGTTCCCCCCTGTGGGACAGGAGTTTGGCAAAGTCAGAGCTGGGGGGAGGCTTCAGTCTTTACATCCAGCAGTCACACACGTTTCAACCACTGGAAGCCACCCCCAATTAGCTCAGCAGGGACTCTGTGCATCCCTCCACTCCTTCCCACAAGGTCCTTGCCGCTCCACACCCTCTGCTTGTTCTGCTTTGGGTGCTGCTGCAAAGTTCATGGTAACACTTCCCCTGACTGCAAATTCAGTCGAGCTTTCCTCCAGGAAGATACAAATCCATTAATAACCACCACAGTGACAGCTCCTTCTATCTACAATCTCATTGCTTGAAATGAAGGGGTGGTTTATGATATTTTCATTATTGCAATCATATCAATATTCGGGGTTTTTAGATAAAGTGGTTTGGTGCATATTAGAAAAAAAATACTTAAAGATAATTTCAACCTAAATTCAAGTGCTTTAAATGCATTTAAAATATTTATATTCATGCTTTCAGGAGACATTGATAATTTAATTCTTTTTTCTTAGCAACTTCCATTCTTTTGCTCTATTTTCAAACAGTTCTCAGGAGCTTTTTGCCTTCTGGCATCTTGTCAAAATACTAATACAGAACAAGAGCAGCAGAGGAGCTCTCTGTGTTTCATGACGGTGGGAACTGTCCTGCATAACAAGAGATTTAATGGGTTAAATGTATCACCTGAGATATACGTTAAAGACTATTATCCCTCTGACATTATCTTGCATTCCTAAAAGCTATTACATTTTTCCTACAGTACTTTTGCATTTGCCATACTAACAAAAGCATCTTTGGTTTTTAATAAACGTTAAAAGAAGCCAATCAATGTTTGTATTTATCTGCTTTTGAGCACAGTGAACACAACCCATTTTAGATACCCTCATTAGTATTCACCAACCAGTTGACCTTTTTTTAGTCGCATCATTATGTAAAAGACAGAATACACTTTCTCTCTTCCTTACAGTGATTTTGTTGCTGAGGAGAATATAATTAAAATACAAAAGACAAGACGATATTGACTCTTGCAGCTGCCCTCTGCTCAGCAGAGAAGGAGTTGTTCAGAGTATTACACTGGGTTCTTAGCCATGAATACAACTGTAATACTATAATCCGAGCTCGGCATTGTCGGTCTGATCCTGTGTGCCTTGCACAAGCAGCGCTGCAGTTCAAGCAAGGGGAAGTTCTGGATGCCAAATAGGTTTCAATACATGTACCCCTTGGTCATTTATATCAAGAAAATTAATTTAATATCCCGTTGTCAAGGTAGACCTAGATTCCTTTGCTTGTTCACCTCGTTCACCAGTTTTTCCTTGTTTTTGCGCTTGGATGACCCAGGTTTGTGCTGTAAAGAGGAGCAGCAGTCCTAGGGATTCCCACATCCATCTGCCTCCATCCGTGTCAGCAGGTTCACTGCTACTGTTCCTTCGAGCAGAACAGCAAATCCCTTCCAACGCAAAAGTCACTACAAATGTAGTTGTATGGCTTGTCTCAAGCAGTATGATCAGCTCCTGCCACGTCCAAAGCAATGATCAAGAGGGATAAGCACTATCCAGTCAGAAAGGAGACGTGGTTTGTATCCTAAAGATATACAGAGAGCAGCGGGAGGGAGGAAAACGCAGAGTAAGCAGAACTGTCAGACTGATATTTGACAAATTAATGCCATGACAGGCTTGTACTTACATGCACTCTGCCTCATAAGCAAGGTAGCTTGGAGTCTCCTCACGTGTGAAATAGAAGTAAGGTTATCAGGCTCCTCAGTAAGAGAGCTGTTCTCCTTCAGCCAGCTTTCCTTCTGGTGCCCCCTGGTCTTCCCCACTCAGAGCTCAACAGAAACAACAGTCTGAGTACAACTAAGAAACATCTGCATATATTTAAACTGAAGCTGGTTAAAAATAGAAAAAAGATGTCACTTTCAAGGAAATTCAGATCAGTGTATTCAGTACTTTCAGGCACAGTATGTTTCACATATAAATAGAATCTGTATATATCTTAATATAACATACCAATTTATAGTACTGAATATTCATGATACTGCAACACCACCACGATCCCACCAAATTAACTAGGGTTACCATATGTCTGGGATTTCCCAGACATTTTTTTTTTTCTCTGAAGGAAAAGGTGGACTTTGGTCACCTTCCTAAGGTCCCTGGACAAGGACTAGTCCAGCAGCAGTAGCTCCAGTCCTGTGCTGGCTATAGAAAGCAATTCCCCCAAAGCTGCAGAGCACCCTGATGGCACTGCTGGGTGCAGAGCCAGGCCTGAGGGACATGTCCCACACTCTGCCTGAGCTGTGCAGATGATCCACGTGCACTGCTGATCCCAGCCTGTCCTGGCTGCACTGGACTTGTTACACACAGAGGGAAGAGATTCTCTGTGACTGTACAGGGCAGAGCATGTTGGGCCCTTTCTCTACAAACCGCACGAGATGTGAGGCCATGCTTCCATATGGAATTTGCCAGAGATACAAAAGCCCTGTTCTAGGCAGGTAAAATCCTCAGCAAGTGGTGGGAATACATGATTCAAGGTAAACAGAAACATGCAAGCGTGGGCACCATATGAGGCAAAAATTTGCAGAAGGGAAGGGAAAGTGGAGGGGCTTTACCCCAAAACATGCTCAGGAGGAGGAGCTGGACAAGCTGCCTCTCGCCTTTGCCATGGGGTAGGGGTGAGAAGTAGGAAGTGTACTATAAACAGAATATAAACTATATTCCTGCCTGCTGGAATCACCCTCCCAAAGAAATGCTTTAAGGGAGAAGCTGAATATTTTTTGCAGCAGCAGCCTGCCCTGCTTACATTTGAGACAAGCAACAAAGCCATCTTTCAAGAAGGATGTAAACCAGTACAATGAAGTAATTAAAAAATGCAGATACATTAGCAGTGTGGAGTGGTGCCTGTGTCTCACTCCTGCAGGGACTGCAGGTTTCCACAGGAGAGTGTTGGCCCAGGACTGTCAGTGCTGATGGGAACCGGGTGCCAGAGTGGGTCAGCAGCATCACAGAATCCACAGTGCAACTGTCCTGTAGGGAAAGACCTATAAAACTAGAAGCACATTAACTTTGCTAATCTATTTAGCGTTTAAGTTTCTCAGTAACACAGTTTTGTAATGTTTGGAATAGTGTTTTCCCCGGCTTTTCTTTAATACATATGTAGTGCAGTACTATTTCCCTGGGTACCAATGGAGGGAGGTCACAGCTGGCAGAGCACTCCCTGAGCAGAACCCCCAGGTGCCTCTCCAGTTATGTCCCCAACCCTTCTTTCAGAAGCTGTGATAGCACAGGGACTAATTGTCCCTAATCGGGGAGCAGGGATACAGAACTTTAATTTCCCTACAGACATATGTCCCGGCTTTTGGGGAATTAAGTTATCCAGTGACCTTTTATTAATGCCTATGCTTTAAAAGCAGCTTGAAAGGCCACAGCAGCACTTCACAGATCAGCACCCGTGCAGCCAGAAATAATGAATTTATGCTCTGGCCGGCCATGGCATCCAAATGTAACAGACTTGATTAAAAGGAGCAGCTGCAGCCAAAGCTTAGCCTGGTCCAAACACGATTACGCTCCCCAGACCATGCCAACAGCCCAATGCGTTATTCCAGCAGCAATCAGGGTCCAGCAGGGAGCTACAAAGTTGATCAAGGGACTGGAGAATCTCTCTCGAGAAAAAAGACTGAGGGAGCTGGGCCTGTTCAGCCTCAAGAAGAGACAACTGAGAGGGGACCTCATCAACTGTATCAGTGTATGAAGATGGGATGCTTGGAGGATGTTGCTGGGAGGATGTAGCAGGCTCTGCTTGGTGGTTCCCAGCAACAGGACACGAAGCAACGGCAGAAACTGATGTCCCACCTGAACATGAGGAAGAACTTCCTTACTGTGCAGTGACCGAGCACTGGAGCAGATTGCCCAGAGAGGCTGTGGCGTCTCTCTCCCTGGAGATACTGCAGAATTGGCTGGACACAATCCTGTGCTGTGTGCTCTGGAATGACCCTGCTAGAGCAGGGAGGTGGGACCAGATGACCCACGCGATCCCTCCCAGCCTGCCCTATGCTTGTAATTGTGTGACTGGGACCAGTCCGACCCTTCGCGCCGTCCCAGCTCCCCCGTGTCCCCGCCCGGGGGGCAACGGGGCTTCGGCCTACTTTGAACCGCCCGCCCGCGCCGTCAGTGTGCCTCGCGAACCAAGGGAGCGCCCGACACATCCTTAGTTTGCCGCGCCCGGCCGCGCCCGATTTTTCTTCTTTTCCCCCCAGCAGCGGCCGAAAGCCGCCCTTGCGGCCTCGCTTTGGCGCGGGGCGCGCCGATTGGTCGGTTTGAACGGTGGCGGCGCGGCGCCATTGGCGGAGCGCGGCGGGCGGACGGTTCGAATGCGGCGCGGCCCCGCCCCCTGCCCGCTCGCGCCCGTCCCTGTGCGGCGGCTCGTGCAGCGCGCGGCGGCTCCGCAGGTGAGGGGAGAGGAGGGGACGGGACGGGACGGGGCTGCGCGCTCCCGACCCGGCCGGGGCAACCCCGGGCTCACACCGCGGACACCCGCGCCTTCCTGGCCCAGGGCAACCGGGCAGGCAGCGGCGGAGCGCCCCGGGGCTGCTGGGCCGGGTGAGAGCGGGGCGGGGGTTGGGTCGGACCGGGGAGGGGGGGGCCCTGAGCGGCGAGCGGGCGCTGCTCGCCCCAGCCGGAGCTCGGCGGCCTCCTGCAGCCGTAGGTGACTCGGCCAGTACCTCGTAACCCCTCTGACCTCGGTGCCGAAGCCCCGCCGTGCCCGGCGGAGCGGGTCCGGAGCAGGAGGTGTGAAGGGCCGGCCCCGGCTGTGCTCTGCACTTACCCCCTGACACACGGGACCGGTGTTCCCTGGCACGGCTGGCACAGAACCCCGCGATTTTTACATAGGAGGGTTCCTGCGAGTGAGTAACCACGTAAAACTGGTGGGCGGCGCGTGTTTTTTTCAATTCCGTGCAGGAGTTTTCTTCTTCACACGCACACAAAAATATCTTTCTCCTTTGAGTTGGTGCCCGCTCGCACTTCGGGATGTAGGTTTTCTAGTTTGAACTCAAAACCCTGGTGTTTGTTTGAGGAGAACAGTGTTTCACATTGCACCTTAATTAGCAAGAACTAACGAGCTTCCAAAGACCTGGCACAGTTCCAGCGACTTGGCTGTGGTCAGGACAGCAACTGTTCACCCTCATTTGCTGTTTCCTTTTCCCGTTCATTTCAGGGATATCCACAGCAATGGACGATTACACAAAAATAGAGAAGATTGGGGAAGGTAAGTATGGGGAACAGTGAGACTTCTAACACTCCACAATTTGAGCTGTCGGGTGTCACGGAAGCTCTGTGCACTTTGGCTATTAAAGGAACCACTGAGATTCAACTATCTGGCTAAATAAGGCTGTGGCTTTCTATGGTAATTATTTCTATATGTAAAAGCTTTCAGCCAGCCCTTCTTTTGAGAGTGCCTGCCTTCACGCTGATGGTGTAATTAATATTCTTCCGGGGGCGGGAGGGGGGGGAATATGTTCTGAGTCCTGAAACCAGCTTTACAATTCAGGAAGCTCCCCTGTTCCTGCATATATAAACTTACCAGTTGTTCCTGAAGTTATGCTACATGGCATACTTTTGCTTGGAGCTGCTGGTAGGGAGTAGGTTTTGTGGATTATCCCGCTTTGATTATATCCAAGCACTGTGGTTGTCAAGGGAAAGTGCAGAGTGTAAACCTCTGTGGAGAAGTGAATTTTAACAGTTAATTTACTGTGAGGCACTAAGAAAATGGCTTCAATGCAGATGTTAGTCATAGCCCCCTTTTACTGGAAATCCAACCGATGTTAACTGTAGACGTCAGGGTGTTTTATAATGCTTTAATCCTATGTAGACTTGAGAATTTGAAGTATGTTGCTCTGAGAATGTGTTCTGAGATAATTGCAAAATGCGTGTGCTTAGATCTTGCAAACAAAGCTTTGTAACCGAAGCCTTGTGCATGAATCTTTGAAAGAAACTAGTCTGAGCTTCATGTGAGGGATTAATGCTTCAAGAAGGGTAAAAAGAGAAGGTTTATACTGTCTTGGTTTGAGGGTTCTACTTCTGTGAACACTGATGATTAAAATGGATTGATTTGAGATTTAATAGTGGTTCCAGTTTTAGCTTCTGCTGAGACCCACAGCACTACCTTCTCCCCTACATGGAGGATTGAGCCAGAGGTATTTCTATAGATCAGACCCATGGATGGTTTGATCTTAGATTGCAGAAGGAGCAGTACTTTTATTTGCAGCTAAACCTTCAGAGTTTTAATATGATCTATCATTGGCAAAATCATAACCCCTTGGGGATGAGGCAGTATTGTGATCTTGCCTGGAAGTTAATCAACACAAAACTCAAATAGTATTTGATTTTACAACTGCATCTTCCAAATATTCACCTTTCATGCTCAGGCTGCTAAGTACCCTGACAGTTAGTGGGTGGCATGCTTTAAACAAACAGAACTATTGCTTGGTAAACTGCCAGAGTTAAACAGTAGGTCATAATCAAATCAGGGCTAAGAGTTGGACTTGATGGTCCTTGTGGGTCCCTTTCAACTCAGCATATTCTGTGATTTGCAAGGACTTTGCCTATGTTAGCAGTTCATATTTGCAATGACTTATCTGTACCTGAAGCTGGTACTTCCTATATGTGTTTCACTGTCTTTTTGTTCAGGTACCTATGGTGTTGTGTATAAAGGTCGTCACAAAACCACAGGCCAGGTGGTTGCAATGAAGAAAATACGTCTAGAAAGTGAGGAGGAAGGTGTTCCAAGTACTGCTATCCGAGAAATTTCTTTATTAAAAGAGCTGAATCATCCCAATATAGTCTGGTATGCATATACTGGTATTTAGCTAAACTTTGAAGGGCACTAGGTCCCTTCAGATAATAAATTATTTTCCCACTGTTTTAGTGAGGTGAGAACCACTTTGCTTAATACAGTATGTTTTGCAGCAAATTGTTAAATTCCCAAATCCCATTATTACACCAGTTTTTTAATTAAGCCTTCCTCATGCTGCCTCTCACCATTCAAGGAATCTAACAAATTTTTGCTGATTTAGAAATTTATGTAAATTCTATCTTCAGGGAGGTTATTGTGAGAATGGATGCAGCATCCTTCACGAAAACTGGCTGAAGCTGTTACTTTAGGCAGTCTCAAAATTTAATTTGCTGCCTTGGAATAGAGCATTTGACTTGAGTGTTCTTAAGTGAGCCTCTGTCATCAATCTCCTCCCCGCTGTTCTGTAGCAGGAATTTATGTGTTGTGTATGGTGCTGTCATAGCTGGCACATCTGAGCTACAAGTGACTACTTGTAGTCACTTCCGTCAGTGACTACTTGACATGTGGAAATTAATTGCAGCTATTGTCTTCCCCACAAAATATTTGCTTGCTCTTTGATGTAGCAAAATACTTGATCTTGACTGTGCATTAAAACTGGCCAAGTTGCAGCCAGGTAGTGTCTCAATGTATGTATGCTTGGGTTTAGGAAACCTTAAACTCTAATAAGGATGAAGGAGATACTTAGAAATGTGTGCAAATCCTGCTGTGTCTACTAGGTTCCTACTGTAATGTTCCCTTAAACCCTCCTAGTAATCAGGCTCTGCTGTAATAAGCCAGCTTCAAAGAGAAGTCAGGCATCAACACCCACAGGTGTTTGTTTGTTTTTAAAGGCAACAGTATTTTTTTCCCCAGGCTTCCTGTGTCTGATATGAGGGAACATAAGTTTAAGAGGAAGCATATAGGTATTTATCTCAGTGACACTCTTTCAGATACACTTAATTTTCCAGATAACAGTATAACTCACTAAGTCTGCTGATGTTTGAAAACTTTTAAGACTTCCATAATGAAGACCTGGAAATGTCTGTATCCCTGTTGAGAGGGGAAATGTAACTGAGTCCATGCATTTTGCAGTGGAGTTAATTGTATACTCAATTTTTAGTCTTCAGGATGTTCTTATGCAGGATTCAAGACTGTACCTTGTCTTTGAATTCCTTTCCATGGATCTGAAGAAGTATTTGGATAGTATTCCATCTGGCCAATATTTGGAGCGTTCCCTTGTTAAGGTAATGAGGACAATTTCTTAATATAGGAGGGAAATTAATCTAGGGATAACCTAGTAAGCTATAAGCAGCTCTTATTTTCGGTATAATTAACTCCTTGAGGAGAAATGAAAGGTTAAATAAGCAGCTGTGGATAATAAGCTGAAATGTGAGTTTTGCTCTTAAATGCCACTTCAAATTCTTTTAATTACTGAGATTAAACTGCCTTAAACTAATCTTAAAAAATAAATTGTGTGGCTTTTTGGTTGATATTAACTCTATCTGCAATGCTTTGGATCTCTATTTCCTAATATTGTGGGGTGAGCTAATGTAAGGGAACACCTTTGTGTTGCAGACACTGAGGTATACTAAAGGTAACTCCTTTGGTTTTTTCCTCCCACTTCATCCTTTCTAGAGTTACCTGTACCAAATCTTGCAAGGTATTGTCTTTTGCCACTCAAGGAGAGTTCTGCACAGAGACCTGAAACCTCAGAATCTCTTAATAGATGACAAGGGGGTGATTAAACTGGCGGACTTTGGGTTGGCTCGAGCCTTTGGAATTCCAGTGCGGGTCTACACTCATGAAGTGAGTTGGAACATACTTTTGGTGGTTTGCACAGTGCTCACTAGATTACTACTAAAAAAGAATCATGCATGTTTTGAAGTTGTAACAGAACAATCAAAAAGTTATGTTTTGGTTTTCCAAAACAGTTTTCCACCTCTTTGACTGTGGTTTTATTCTGAAGTTCCAAAGCATCTTACGAATCCCACTATTACCTTGATAGTGATTTAGATGGGCTGGAACTTGTTGCTCACTGTCTCATAAGGGCATTTTTGCTTCACAAAGCACTCAAGTCTGAGGGTTTTACTGGATGGGTGCTAAAGGCTTCCTGCCCTTTGGGAAGTAGTGTAGGCAACTGCTTGGATTGCAGCAGAAACTACTGCAATGGAACTTGTTTGTCTACAAATTCAGTTTTAAACTAGTATTTTCACTAAAACTTCTAGCACCAGCTATTATTTTAAGCAAAGAAGCTGAGAATGCTGCTTAGTAACAGATGAACTGTTGTGCTTGCTGTCAAGGAGGAGACCTGGTTTTACAAACTTAAACAACTTGCCTTGTTCAATAGGTAGTGACACTGTGGTACCGGTCTCCAGAGGTGTTGCTGGGATCTGTTCGTTACTCTACTCCTGTAGATATATGGAGCATAGGTACCATATTTGCTGAGCTAGCAACTAAAAAGCCACTTTTCCATGGGGATTCAGAGATTGACCAGATCTTCAGAATCTTCAGGTATGTTAGGCTGAACCTTCCCTGCTACCTGTGTGGCACCACACAACAGTCGTGTGCTCATTAAAAGCATAGTCATGCATACACATTTCAGACTAAACTGCTTAATGTTCTGCTTATGCCTGCACAGAGCTTTAGGGACCCCCAACAATGAGGTATGGCCTGATGTGGAATCCCTGCAAGACTATAAGAACACGTTCCCAAAATGGAAACCTGTCAGCCTTGAAACACATGTCAAAAACTTGGATAAAGATGGACTTGATCTGCTGGCTGTAAGTATTCTTTCTTAAACTGCTGAACCGAAAGGGGCAGAAAACAGAAAGCTACACTTACCAGCTGTGGCCAGAAGGGAGATATGGAGATCTTGAAATTATCAGCAGTGGGGTGAGCTTTCATTCTTGTAGAACTGACACCTTGTGTGACATTCACTCCTTTCATAAATAATACCAGACTACTTTTCACATTAACAAGTTATGCCTCAGCTTTTTTATACTAATAAGCCAGGTACAACTTGACAGTGAGGATGAGCTTTTACAACCAGATCTAAAGTGAAGGCTTCTGCCCATAAACTATCACCTTGCCGCTGCCAGCACGAACTGTGATGTGGCTGTATGTCTGCTGATCCAGTTGGAAATGTTTTTTATGGTAGCATATGGATTAATCTTGGTGGGCTCATCTTGATTTAACTTCTGTGATGGTCTTAACTGAATAAACAGTGAGGGAAGCAGCTGAATGTATTGATTAGCTGTGAGACCAGAGACTTAGTTTGTCTGTCTGTAATGTCTGTCTCAATTGCCTTTAAATTTTGAGTTAAAGATTTTTGGCTGTGGTGTATTAACTTTTAATTGATATATTTTGTGTCAAGTGTGAGTTTCCTTTAGTTCTGTGGCCATGCAGTTAAACTACCACACCAGGCTTTTAATTGATAAGCTCTTCATCAGGTTTTTCCATTTAGTGCTCTCCCAGCCTCTGTGCTGCCACTGTGGACTAATTTAGGTCACAACTTAGGTGTGCTCTTGGATATACTGAAGTGTAATAATGTATCTTGGTTGTCCTTTGGCTGTTCTAAAGCTGCATTTACACAGTGCAGTCTTACCTGTGGGTTGTGGGGTGGGTGCTCTGTGTGTAAGATAAGCTGACACTTCAGCACCACCTTGGTACAGGGGCAGCCTTGTACAGCCATTACCTGTGCATGTGGCTCATGGTTTTAAGCAGTCACAAATTACTTTTTAACCATATTGGTATGGCTGTGGCAAAATACTCTGAATGAAGGAGTGTTGTCCAAGAAGCTCAAATGACCACAGTTTCTCAGTTCTGGTTTTTTTTTTTTGTTTTTTGGTTTGGTGTTTTTTTGAGATGTGTGTGAACAGAGCCACAATTTACATTGACAACCTGAACGTTTGTTAAAGATGTAGTTGTCTTGGGAAACTCTAAATGTTGCAGCAGAATTGTCTTATACAGATAAGTGACTTAGGCTGACACATTTCCCCCATGACCACTGACAGCATCATTATTAAATCAGTTTGAAATAGAATTGTTACTGATTGTATTTACAAACTAAAATAAATTGTTTGATTGGCAAGAGAATCTTGTCCATACACTTAAACTGACCTGCTAAGCACTCATCTGAGCTTAGGTGTGGCTTCACTATGTAAAACCAATGTTTTGGGTTGCTGTGAGTAAAGGCAAAAAACCTCAATGCTAGTCTCAAAGCATGTAAAATTCTCTAAGATCTTGTACAGTTTTGCCTTAATTCAATAAATGTTTATATTTTAGTTTGCTAATAATGCTTGGTGACAGTGGTATTCCTGATGGGAATCCCTTTGTTTCCTATGGCACTTTTAAGCCTGAAGCAGTAACAGAACACATGTAAATAATTAGTATGTAAAGTAGCTGTCTTTGAAAATGTCTTAACACAAAAATGTGTAATTCAAGTTGCTCGAGTGAGGTTGGAAATTTAAGACCTTCATAAGCTAAATGATTTCTGTGGCCAGCATTTGAAAGTACTTAATTGCTGTCATCAAAAGCTTTGAACAGACAATAGATTCCAGAAAAAACTTTCCAGAAAAAACGTTCCAGACTGCTCAGGGAAGAAATTGTGACTTAATCCAGCAGCTGAAGTGCTGTAGTCTCAGTGTCACACCATCCGTTTTACAGAGAAATTTGCCTCTTTGAGTGGATTTTAAGGGACCCTTTGATATCAGTATTTACTATAGGACACTGTTCTGGGTTACAGCTAATGGGAACCTGTCACAAGGTAAAACTGGACCTGCAAGGTTAAATCTAGAGGCAGAGTGGTGTTTGGCAGAGGTTCAGAGAATATAAATGCAAATTCAGAGGCTTAAATCGACTTGGAAGGGTCCCTGTAGGAAGAAGTGTAAAGATAGTTAAATGTCAAGACTGGATACTGGGCAGAGTAATACTGGTTAAGTTTTGTTCTGGAAGACAAATTTGTGGGGATGAGGGAGAGGCAGCTGGTAGAATCCTGATTACTTAAATTTTTGAAATGGGCTGTCCTTTATTAAGGAGACAAAGACTTTGCAGAGACTTTGCTAGTTTTGGGTCTAGTAGAAAAGTGCTGAATGCTTCATTCCTTTTTTGACCCCTTGTATGATATAAACTGTAGATGCCTTTTTTTTTTTTTAACTGCTAGCAAAACAAAGTTTTTGCCTGAATTAGAAAGTTCTGGGGCTATGAAACCCCTTCTTTGTTCTCTCATCCCCTTTACTGAGGTATTCAGTTGAAATAACTTATTGCAAAGAAACTCAAGTTTTAACTCTTCTTTTCAGTTCTATGTGCTTGTAATCTACTTTCCTGTTTGGATTTTGAAACTGTGATCACTCTCTTGTATATTAACTGTAAAGTTCTTCACCAAGCTGAGTAAAAGCAATTTGACAGCACTTTCTTCAGTGTCAGTAATGAAACAAATATAAGATGTTTGGGGCTTTAACAGCCTAAAGCTTATTAATTTCCCTTAGTAAGAAGGTGAGACAAATAATTATTGCCACTTGATGCTGGTTCTGGATTTAGTCAGTGCATGTGGAACCCAGATCCAGGGAAGGGCTTGGTCACTGAACAGGGAGGGGATGTGTGATTCTGTTATGCACTGCTACTGCCCTACCACTGACTTGTAGGTGCAAATAACCTCTCCAACTGTGAGAAATCATGGAACAAAGAGGGAAAATGTCTTTATGGTTACTTGATGATTATTATTATGGTAATACCTACCTGTTTGACATGATTTTAGTTTGCATTTCTTGAAGGAGTGTGTTTCTTTTTTTTTCTTTCAGAAAATGTTAATTTATGATCCTGCAAAAAGAATTTCTGGCAAAATGGCCTTGAACCATCCATATTTTGATGACTTGGACAAATCCACTCTTCCTGCTAGTCTGATTAAGAAATAACAGACCTTTGGACTAAATCATTCACAATGAAAAAATTGTGATTACTTTCACTCTTAAGTCTGTAATCTTTTGTCTTTCTGCTCCAAAACTGTGGCTGTTTTCAGTTTGTTTTGTTTTAAGTGTTATCTAAATGTAAATATTAACCTTTCAGTGCTGAGTTCAAATACAGTGCAAATATTGCTGCAATTAATGCAGTCATCTTTCTATAAATAAAGCTTTAAACCCAGTGAAGGACTGAATTCATTTCCAGACTATGGTTGCTCTGCAAGAGGACTCGTGTTTTCTTTGGAATGCACTTGTAAGGTTCCACTTGGCTAAGAAAAGCTGCTAACACTACATTGTTGTTCTTGATAGGATAGGAAATTCTTGTCAAGTTTGAGTTGTTTCTGTGTGATTTCAGTTCCAATTTGACCTGAGCATGGCAACTGATGTGCCAAGGGATGTGTACTTTGAGATGTTGAAGAATTGCAGCTTACTACAGTAAAGTAAATGGCCAAACTAATTTTAGGGTTTGAGTTTTTGAAGGCAGCTGCAAGTCTGTATTTAAGAAAAATCCCTTGCTTTTCTGGAAGGCCCAAGAATGTACCTAGATGTTGGCATGTGAACTAGTGAATTGGCATATTTCCAACTCCTGGACCAGTAAAGGTATGTTATCTTAAATTTTACATGGACTATCTATGCAAATGTATAACTGCCCAACAGGGCCCCTTCCACCTGCTACTAGTAATGCAGTTCTACTTTAATGAGAATCAGAGAATCCCCTGGATTATACTTAAATTTGGAAACCAGTCTGTCTTCATATAGGAATAGTCAAGTAAATGTTGACTTAACGTGACTGCAAGGAATTGCAATCAAAGACTCAGATACTACAATGGCTATAGACTTTCCCATAATTATAATATATATAATAATATTTAATATATATTCCCATAATTACAACAGGAGCTTTTTAAAGCTCCCCAGCATTTAACTGAACAGGTGAGAGTACTGTAAAAAGTTCAAATATGTATGTGCTAATAGTTGATTGTATGTTACTTTAAAAAGTTGCTTGATTGAAGGCAGGGGGAAGAAAGTTGTGATGGCTGACTTTTTTATTTTTTTTTTCCCTGTTAACACCAGTGATAGGATGCAATTTTAAGGCCAAGTATTAGGGACCTAATTGGTCTGCTTTTGAATTTAATGACTTGATATGGGCTTTACAGGTCAAGGGATTGTGTTGCTGTGCTAATTAGTTACCTTGGTGTGTGGAAAAGAGGGGAACCTGCCAGTGCTCTAAAAACCAGAAGCTAATGGACAGGCAAACTAATTTTTTTGTTAGCAATACTGGTTAAGCCTGATTTTTCTTCTGTATGTAGCTGGTGTCTGTCTCAATTTCATGTCATATGGTGAACACTTTAGCCTGTCTAACAAACCAAAGTACTAAAGTTTCTAAAGAAAGCTGCTTTTTAAACAATAATTTGAAGAGTCTGCAATCCTTGTCTACTCAGGTGGTGTAACATTGTAGCTCTGAATGAACTCATAGTGCTCCAAGCAAATAGGAAGGGGGAAGGAACATAAGTGTCCATCTGTGCCTGAGGTCAGATCAGGTGGCAAATGCCATACTCAGAGACGTGATTCCCTGTAACAGCTCCACTCTAAAACATTATCAAAGTTGTCAATGAGGCAGATCACTCCCTTTAGGGAAAAATACATCATTGACTCTTTGTAACTGCCCTGCTGCTGGACCTGGCATGTGGAAGGTTTGTGATGTTCAAGTTTTGGCCATTTAAGATTCCATTTTATGCTGGTAAAAACTGGTGGTGCCTTGCACATTGAGGGGGGGTGGTGGGGTTTAACCCCCTGGGTGATCATCAGCAAACCTATTTATTGCTACCTATTGCAGGAGCTTTCTTCTAACTTGTAAGAACTGGGGGTGGAATTACTTTATTTAAAAGTGGTCTGCTCACCTTTAAAATAAGGTTCCATAATGTAATGTTATTTTCAGTATTTCCTCTGGTGCCGTGGCTGCTCAGTATCACGTGTTCTACCAGAGCACAGGAAAACCCCAGCTGACAATGATAAACTTACCTTGGTTTTTTACTTAACTTGTGTGTCCTCTATCCCATTAGGAAGTAATGTAGATGAAAAAGCTTGGTATACACAAGAATAGGATTTTACACAGGATCAAATTAGGGCTTTGGTGATGGGGTTTTTTAAGTTGCAAAGCAAGCTTTTTTTTTTTTTCCAAACAGCCAACCACCTACTAGGTACTTGTAGACCGAGTTCAGCTGCTTTTATTTTCCTCAGACGTAATTAATTTCAGTGAGAATTTGGTATTGCCAT